TTGCAGGTTTCAATCATGTCAAGCGGTGATGACAAATCAACCACTAGAGGCCACCATGTGGATGAATCCTTCATGCTCAAAGCAATGCAACAACAATTTCAGACGCTGGACATCATGTTTGGTGAGATTAGAGACAAAATGGAGAAGCAAGATGCAGCGATAGCCAAGTTATACCAAACACAAAATGGAGGTCTGAGTTTGCGTAGGAATGATGCGAATGATGATTTCGATGACGATTATAAAGATGCATTCAACAATGAAGCCCAGAACTCAAATTTCAGCATGGACAGATTTATGAGAGGTAGAGGGGGTCAAAGACATAGATTTAACAAAGGAGACCAAAATCTGGCAAGCTGGGGAGATCGGCAAGATCATGACTTAGGCAGCATCAAGATGAAGATTCCTCCGTTTCAAGGGAAAAATGATCCAGATGTGTATTTGGAGTGGGAAAAGAAGGTGGAATTGGTGTTTGGTTGCCAATTCTGAGGAGAAAAAGGTGAAACTAGCAGCGGTGGAATTTACTGATTACGCTGTGGTGTGGTGGGATCAGCTTGTGCTTAGTCGACGTAGAAATTGAGAGCGTCCTGTTGACACTTGGGAAGAGATGAAAGCTGTGATGAGAAAACGATTTGTTCCTAGTCACTACTACCGTGATCTCTATCAACGATTGCAGGGCCTTACTCAAGGGTCCAAAAGCGTTGAGGATTATCACAAAGAGATGGAAATCGCAATGGTTAGGGCAAATGTGGAAGAGGACAGAGAAGCAACTATGGCACGGTTTCTGCATGCTTTAAATCGTGATATAGCTAATGTGGTGGAACTGCAGCATTATGTGGAATTAGAAGATATGGTGCATATGGCGATGAAAGTAGAACAGCAACTCAAGCGTAGGGGAGCCACCACCAGAACTGGGCAAAATTCAGGTTCCTCATCTTCTTGGAAACTGAATTGGAGCAAAAAGGAAGAAAATTCTGTTTTTAAGCCTAAAACTGCAGCATCTAAGTCAAAAGAAGTTGGCAGCAATGAGAAGAGTAAAACAGATAATAC